ATGACCTCTCAAGCAACATGGAGGCCATTGCAAAAGCAAAGGTACAACAAATGAGTGCTGATCTGGTAGTGACATTACTGAAACTGACAGAGTCAAAATGCTTGTTGTCAAACAGGTGAATCTTGAGAAAATGTGTCGCACCCTTGAAGATCAACTGAGCGAGCTGAAGGCCAAAAATGATGAACATGTGCGACAGCTGAATGACACTGGAGTGCAACGGGCAAGGCTGCAAACAGAGAATGGTGAAATTCTTGTTACACCTTTTTTTTTTAATTTACTTATTTTAATACCATGCTTCCAACATGAACCATTATTTTCCGTTTTTAATTTTCTTGAAATAAATTAGGTGAAATCAGTCGCCAACTAGAAGAGAAAGAAGCTCTTGTGTCTCAGCTGACAAGGAGCAAGCAGGCTTACACTCAGCAGATTGAAGAACTGAAGAGGCACGTTGAAGAGGAAGTTAAAGTGTGTGTCCACTAAAAACACTCGCACTGCCACAGAACTGCAATGTTGAATCAGTTCAAGGCTTGATAAATATTGTAGTAAATAAAAAACCCGCTCATGTTTTTTGTCAGGCCAAGAACGCCCTGGCTCATGCTGTCCAGTCGTCTCGTCACGACTCTGATCTGCTCAGAGAGCAGTATGAGGAGGAGCAGGAGGCCAAAGCGGAGCTGCAGCGTTCCATGTCCAAGGCTAACAGCGAGGTGGCTCAGTGGAGAACCAAATATGAGACTGACGCCATTCAGCGCACTGAGGAGCTGGAGGAGGCTAAGTATGGATATTTTCCCATTTGTGATTACTTTAAATTTCAAAGCACTTCAGGCATATAAAGCAAATACTCTTCCCAGGAAAAAGCTGGCCCAGCGTCTTCAGGATGCCGAGGAATCCATTGAGGCTGTGAATGCCAAATGTGCCTCTCTGGAAAAGACTAAACAGAGGCTTCATGGTGAAGTGGAGGACCTGATGATCGATGTGGAAAGAGCTAATGCTCTGGCTGCAACCCTGGACAAGAAGCAGAGGAACTTTGACAAGGTTTATTATTAGTAGTATTATTTCTGTTCTGTGCATCTTATTAAAGAACATAGTTATAAATTATTGTTGGGCTTCTTCATGTTCTAAGGTCCTTGCAGAGTGGAAGCAGAAGTATGAAGAAAGCCAGGCTGAGCTGGAAGGAGCTCAGAAAGAGGCTCGCTCTCTCAGCACTGAAATGTTCAAGCTGAAAAATTCATATGAAGAGTCTCTGGATCAGCTGGAGACCTTGAAGAGGGAGAACAAGAACCTGCAGCGTATGAACTGTTTTATGTCGATTAACATGAATTACTCACACTTTGAAGCATGTTGCAGAATCAAAGCAGCGTTTTATTTAAAAACCCATGAAACTTAAAGCCCTACTTTCATTTGTTTTACAGAGGAGATCTCAGATCTAACTGAGCAAATCAGTGAAACTGGAAAGACCATTCACGAACTGGAAAAAGGAAAAAAGGTCGTTGAGACTGAGAAGTGTGAACTCCAAACCTCCCTTGAAGAGGCCGAGGTACTACTTGAAGAAATAACCTCCGGTCTAACTCTTTTCATCAACGTCTTTAAAACTTAACCAGACAATATGTTTTCCAAGGCAACCCTGGAGCACGAAGAGTCCAAGATTCTCCGTGTTCAGCTGGAGCTCACCCAAGTCAAGAGCGAAATTGACAGAAAGTTGGCAGAAAAGGAAGAGGAGATCGAACAGATCAAGAGGAACAGCCAGCGGGTGATTGAGACCATGCAGAGCACTCTGGACGCCGAGGTCAGGAGCAGGAACGATGCCCTGAGAATCAAAAAGAAGATGGAGGGAGACCTGAATGAGATGGAGATCCAGCTGAGCCACGCAAACCGCCAGGCAGCTGAAGCTCAGAAACAGCTGAGGAACATTCAGGGTCATCTTAAGGTGGATACTGAAGAGAACTGTTTATAGAGCTTATGTCAAGCGGACTGGATGGTTAATTCTTTTTGTTTATTAAAGGATACACTGCTGCATCTTGATGAGGCTGTCAGAGGACAAGATGAGATGAGAGAGCAGGTGGCGATGGTGGAGCGCAGGAACACCCTGATGGTGGCTGAGATCGAGGAGCTGAGAGCTGCTCTCGAGCAAACAGAGAGAAGCCGCAAAATGGCTGAACAGGAACTGGTTGATGCCAGCGAGCGTGTTACACTGCTGCATTCTCAGGTACCTAACCAAAAGTCTGACCAGTCTGCGTACCTCTATTTGGTTTTACACGTGGGACTGCATTGTCATTTCTTGTATTCTAGAATACCAGCCTGATCAACACCAAGAAGAAGCTGGAGGCTGATCTGGTTCAGATCCAAGGGGAGGTGGAAGATGCTGTTCAGGAGGCGAGAAACGCTGAAGATAAAGCCAAGAAGGCCATCACTGACGTGAGTCCTCCTGAGCTTTATTCCTGCAGAAGTTGTCCCTCCTTCAATGTCTTATCAAAACAAAACAATGACTGGAAATGTTCAGGCTGCCATGATGGCCGAAGAGCTGAAGAAGGAGCAGGACACCAGCGCTCATTTGGAGAGGATGAAGAAGAACCTGGAGGTGACGGTGAAGGACCTGCAGCACCGTCTGGATGAAGCTGAAAATCTGGCCATGAAGGGAGGCAAGAAGCAGCTCCAGAAACTGGAGGCTCGGGTATGCAAAACACAAATAATACCATTTTCTGTCAGTAAAAAAAAAAAAAGTATAACATTTATTTTATGTTCTCTTCACATCTCGTTTTTGAAGGTTCGTGAACTGGAGACTGAAATTGATGCTGAACAAAGGCGCGGCGCAGAAGCTATCAAGGGAGTGAGAAAATATGAAAGAAGAGTGAAGGAACTCACCTATCAGGTCAGAAGCTGTCCCCCCCCCCCCCCCCCCCCATTCTGATAATATTTAGTCCAGAAAACAACAGCAATCTTAATGTTCTGTCATTTAACAGACTGAGGAGGACAAGAAGAACATCACCAGACTGCAGGATCTGGTGGACAAACTGCAGCTGAAAGTGAAATCTTATAAGAGACAGGCTGAGGAGGCTGTAAGCGTACAAACATCTGATGACATGTTTAAATTTAAAAAAGCACCGTTTAGTTTAGAAATGTTGAGTTTTTTTGTGGTTTACTGCACAGGAGGAGCAGTCCAACACTCACCTGACCAGGTACAGGAAGGTGCAGCACGAGATGGAGGAAGCTCAGGAGCGTGCCGACATCGCCGAGTCTCAGGTCAACAAGCTGAGGGCCAAGAGTCGGGAAATTGTCAAGGTATAGATAAAAAAAATAAACAATAACGTGAATCTAGTTTAAAGGATTGTTCATCTTTTTAAATAGCTATAGTTTCCAGCTCTGTGTTTAACATTGTCATTGTTTGTTGTTTCAGACTAAAGAGTCCCAGGAGTGATGGTGAAATCTCACCAAAACTGTGACAAGAATCATACAATATGAGGATCTTGTTACGTGTTCTTTTGAGCATGTGAAGCATGATATGATTCAAATACATTTAGTGAAATAAAACTGAAAAAGCTGACTCACTGTTCTGTCTATGCCTTTATTTATGACCAGATCAATGCAAATGACCACAAACAACTTTTACTCCCATTCATTTCATTGGATAAGTTATCTATTTGTGCATACAGTGATCTTTCACCTACTATCATGGGGGTTAAGTTCAAAAGACCCTTGCAACAGGTGAAAATATGCAAAGTAGCAATATTATACTTTTTTTTACTATTTTAAAAAAAAAAAACAATAAAGTGCAATTGTATGTTCCCATACAATGGCAAAATTGGTTTTCTGTATTTCACCCATCACATCTGGGATACACCCCAGTGGAGCAGTGGGCAGCTATAAGCGCCCGGGGAGCAATCAGGGATTAGGTGTTTTGCTCAGAGACAGAAGATTCTGGGATAAAGTAAATGCGCTTTCTTGCATTTTAGTGTATGTTAACGGGTTGATAAACATCTACATTTACCTACATTTGTAAACACTCTGCTTCTGTCAAGCATCCTAACATATTTTGACTAATTAGCACTGTTGTTTGGATCCGTAATGTGAATAATACACATCAAACATTTCTCTCATTGTATTTTAAATAAATAATCAAAATTTTATGAATGACCCACTTAAACTGTTGCATTGATCGGCAGTTTTGTTGTTCTGTTTTATTATATTTTTGAGTTCTTCAATAAAACTGTGTGATGATGTTGCACTTTCAGGGGCAGAGTTTTTTTAAGGGTAGAGGCGGAAAATGCTTACTTGAAAGGGCACATATGTGATATCAAGAAGCTTGTCAGTGGCTGTTGTGTTTAAAATTTGTGTTTATGTAATTATTTACATCCATCTATCCATTATCTTTTACCTGCTTCTTCCATTTTGGGTCACGGGGATCGCCAGTGCCCATGTCCAGCAATCACTGTGCGAGGGGCGGGGTACACCCTGGACAGGTCGCAAGTCCATCACAGGGCCACACAGAGAAAATCAACCATTCACTCTCTCACTCACACCTAGGGACAATTCAGAGTTACCAATCAGCCTAACATGCATGTTTTTGGTCTGTGGGAAGAAACCGGAGCACCCTGAGAAAACCCACGCATGCACGGAGAGAACATGCAAACTCCACCCAGAAAGGCCCCCGGACTGAGATTTGAAGCAGGGACCTGCTCGCTGAGAGGCAGCGGCTCTACCAGTTGCGCCACCATGCTGCCCTTTCAGTTTACATATCCAGTATAAATTGTATTCATTCAAGGCAGTCATATGTGTTCTATGCACGCTTTGAAGACCCGAACAGACCACCCAGCACCAGACTCACCTCACCACCCGATGAAGAGCATCTCAGCGTGACCTCAGCAGAAGTAAGGAGTACCTTCAGGAGGATTAATCCGCACAAAGCAACTGGCCCAGACAACATCCCCAGAAAAGTGTTGAAGGAATGTGCTGATCAGCTCTGTGAGGTGCTGGCAGACATCTTTAACACCTCACTTACCCTGGAGACAGTTCCCACCTGCCTGAAGACTGCCACCATCATCCCAGTCCCAAAAAGCTCTACAGTGACTGGTCTGAATGACTATCGGCCAGTGGCCCTCACCCCGATAGTCGCTAAATGCTTCGAAAAACTGGTCATGACTCACATCAAAACAACCATCAACATCAACGAGGACCCTCATCAGTACGCATACCGTGAGAACCGATCAACAGAGGATGCAATCTCCTCTGTGGTCCACACTGCACTCAACCACCTGGAGCAGAAAAACTCTTACGTCCGTATGCTCTTTGTGGACTTCACATCCGCCTTCAACACCATGATCCCCCAAACCCTGATGGACAAACTATCCACACTAGGACTAAGCCCCTCCATCTGCAACTGGGTACTAGACTTTTTAACAAACAGACCACAGTTAGTGAGGATCCACAACCTCTCCTCCTCCACCATAACCCTCAGCACTGGCTCTCCTCAGGGATGTGTGTTGAGCCCCCTTCTGTTTACTCTGCTCACATATGATTGTGCAGCTACCCATCCAGGCTGTCACATTGTAAAGTTTGCAGATGATACAGCGGTGGTGGGATGCATCACAAACAATGATGAGTCCAGCTACAGGCAAGAGGTGGAACACCTGGAGAGCTGGTGCAGAGAGAATAACCTTCACATCAATGTGAAGAAGACAAAGGAGATGATTGTGGACTTCAGAAGGAACAAAAACACCTACACCCCCCTGAACATAAGAGGATCTGCGGTGGAAGTGGTCTCCAGCTACAAGTACTTGGGTGTACACATGAATGACAACCTCAGCTGGAGCAACAACACCACCAGCCTGATCAAGAAAGCTCATCAGAGACTCTACTTCCTCAGACGGCTGAGGCGAGCTGGTCTGGGAAGCTCAGTCCTCACCTCCTTCTACAGGTGTGCAGTGGAGAGCATCCTGTGCTCGAGCATCAATGTGTGGCATGGAGGCTGCACAGCTGCAGAAAGAAAAGCTTTGCAGAGAGTGGTGAAGGCTGCACAGAAATCTGTTGGAATCAGTCTCCCCACCATCACAGACATCTACACCTCCAGATGCAGGAAGAGGGCCACCTGCATCATGAAGGACCCCACCCACCCAGCACACACACTTTTTGCCCCACTCCCCTCAGGAAGGAGGTTAAGGAGCATTAAGTGTAGAACCACTAGACTGAGGAACAGCTTCTACCCTGAGGCTGTTAGACTCATGAATCTCTAACTAGAATAATCACTGTGTAAAACCATATCATGTTGCTGCTGATCTGTTTCATGTTGCTGCTGATCTGTTTCAATGTTGATGTGTTCATGCGTGCACATCTGCTCACAGACTCATGTTCATGTTTGTGCTGATGTTCAATGTTTTTATGTTATGAGTGCTTAGTGTATATTTAGTTGATGTTTTTCTTAGTTCATATCTTAGATGTTATTACTGTTTTTCTTATACATTTTATTGTTGGATGTAACTGGGACCTTGTGTACATAATTTCGCTCCACCACATGTACCACATGAGGTGCGAATGACAATAAAAAAAACTCTGACTCTGACTCTGACTGAAAATTACCAGATCCAAGCAAACGGTTACTGGAACGCACCCTGTCAAAATAAGAAAGTTCCTGTTCCGGCAGGATCTGGCTCAGTTTAAACATTGGTTGGCGCTTTATAAATAAACTGAATTGAATTGCACAGCATAGTAGGCTATACACAAAATAAGAATTTCTTTAAAAAAAAAAAAAAAAAAAAAACGGGTTTAAAAAAACCCGCATACATTGAAGCCGCAAGAAGTGAACTGCGATATAGTGAGGGACGACAGTATTTGTAATTTGGGCACTTTTGGTGCTCCATATCTCAGGGACGAGCGTGCACAGTACAATGTTGTGTTGAAGTAAAAATGACTGACTGGATGGTGCTGTGGCTTTGGCTCGCCAGAGGTCAGCATTGTCCTGACAGACTGTTCCTGTCAGCAACAGAGCGGATAATCTGCTGAAGCCATCCTGTTTTTTGTTGTTTTCGCTTCACTTTTGTTGTTTTTATTTTTTCGGACATCCTTCTTATTGTGGGTTGCTGTTGGGGCAGGATTAGGGGCAGTTTCCTGCGAGTGGTTGGGGATGCGCAGTGCGCTGCTGCAGTAAACAGACTGTCCGAGCCTGCAGCGAGAAGCCTCTTACACACTTTAAGAAAACAGTGCACTGCTTTAAACTGCGCTTGAGATTTGCCCATGACATTTCTTTAAGGGTTTTCTGTTCCCTCTTCATTAAACTCAGCATCATCTACTTCTCTGCTATAGAAACGCGTGTTTTTTCTAGTGTTTGATGGCGAAGGCGCCGTCAGCTCCTTGAGCCTCAACATGACGGACGTCCAGGAGACGGCGGACGCAGAGGACGCGCCTCCGTCCGGCCGGAGCGAGGTGGAGCTCCCGCCGCCGTGCGAGCGCCTCCCCGGCCCCAAGAGCAGCGTGTGCTCCCGCTCGTACTTCGTGGTGGTGATGGTGTTTTTCCACGTCTACATCATCAATGTCATAGCGCTGCTCTTCTACGTTCACTACAGCAGCGGCCAGGAGGACGCCGGCGGGGCTCGTGACGCGGATGCGGGCGGCCGCCTCCTCCAGCGCCCCGCCGCCGCCGCCGGGTCGAGACGCCCGCCGGCCAAGCCCGAGTTCGCGCGCGACGTTTCTCTGACGAGACTCGAGGGGATAAGGGTGAGGGATCGTTTCTTCATGTTCTCTTTGACGCAAACGAATAAAAGATTAAACGTCAACAGCAAAGCAGTGATTTATCTTTCAGGTGGGACATGTCCAGAAGGTGTCCCTGGTGCCGGACAAGGTGCACGAGATGAGGACTCTGAGCCTGAAACCGCTGCTGTTTGGTAAGAAAAACAACATATGACCCGCGGGCCAAAAGAGGCCCTTAGTTGTGTCAACATGGCCCACAAAACAACTTGAAATCAAATGATTTATCCATCTTGCTTAAGTTAGGGCTCAAAGTATTGGAGATGACTCTCAGCTACGATCACACTGAGTTTTAGCTCAATTTCTGCATTATTGCTGTTTTTTATTTGTCATATGCAGGTTACAAGGTCAGCAACGCAATATGTTCAGGATGAGAAGAACCAATTCGGCTCGCTAAAAACAAATACCAAAAACTGAAAATGAAATATATTTACAAGGTCCAAAAGAAATATAGTAAACAACAATTTTTTTTCATCACTGACTGAGGTGTGGGTATTTTTGTGTTTGCTGAGGTCAATTAGCTGGGCAGACATCTTGAACTGGGCTGACCCAAAAAGATGTAGTCTATTTATTATTTAGTTAAATAATGAGAAAATCTGTTAACAGATTGACAAAAAAAAAAAAAAAAAGGGGGAACCATGCGCTCACAGTTGCATCATTATACATTTCCATGCAATAATTATTCTAAATCATTGTTGCTTTATTTTGAGCGAGTGGTGGCACAGAGGCTAGAGAGCCTGTGATCGGAAAACCACTGGTTTGAATCCCCCTGACCGTAACATCAAAATGTGGGTGGGAAAGGTAAACCACCCACATCTGCCTCCACCCTCATTTGGCCCTCTCTGGGCCCTTAGCCTCCACCATCTCCTCCCCTGGATACCGTACGGCAGCTCTCTGCTCCACACAGAGGGCTGTGGTAGCTCAGTGGTTGTGTCAGGAAGGGCATCCGGTGCAAAACAATGACCAAGTCTTCATGTATGTTAGTCACTGTGGCGACCCCTAAAGAAGGGAGCAGCCGAAAGAAAGAAAAAAATAAATATTGCAGTTTTATTTTGGCAAAAATAATGTAGAAGGCAGAAGAGTGGTTAGTTGGCAAATAATGATTAAAACATATCAAAACTACCAACAGACAAATGAACACATATACACACACACAATTACGTTACATTATCACCCAACTTTCATGGTGGAAGGCAGTGACTGATGGAAGACATAATACTTAATAATTTAGGAAACTTCAGACAAGTTACATACTGGATTTCTACCAGTTTACAACCGAGAACACTGCCCATGTTTTAAACTAAACTAGAACTAAACTTTACCCTGGTTGGTTTTTGTAAAAGATTTAGCAATTATGTTTAAAAAAGAGGAAAATGGCATTAATGTTGCATCAAAAGGGTCTAAATCAGCTCTCATGTTTTTTAAGGTTACATTATGTTTAATATGCTAAAGGACTGCATTGACTAATCGCGTCAGCTATGGTACAAGCTTGTCATCACCAAAACATAAAGAAAATATTTTAGTTTATGAAGTTTTGCATGAAAATGTGCAACAAATGTGTTGGTGGACAAGCACACCAGAGCAAGCCTTCCTCTACATGATGTATGCAGATGATGATAAACATGATGTATTCGAGCGGCATGCTGTGTCCATGTGAGACACTTCAGTCCTTTTCACGAAAATAAAATAATCCTACCGGAGAAAAATGTTGCCCACTTGTGCTTCTGATGGAAACAAAGGAATTATGTTTAAAAAAAAAAGACAGTTATGTCTGGAGGAATGAGACCAGAAGTCAGTCTTTGCTTGTTTATTCCAGAAAAAAAAAAAAAAATCTGTAATGAACATTTGTAGTTTTCCTTTCGTGATGACAAGTTTGGAGTTTCTCCTTCATTGTTTCTTGTGTGTGTGTTATTGTGCAGAGATCCCTGGGTTTCTGTCTGATGATGAGTGTCGTGTGGTGATGAGGCTGGCACAGCTGAAGGGTCTGATGGAGAGTCAGCTGATGGTCCAAGAAGGTCAAGAAGAACTGGCCAAAGAGCTCAACCTCAACCCAGAGGAGATCTTTAACCTTCTCGATATTAACCAAGATGGACAACTGCAGCTTCAAGAGGTCGTTGTCTGTTTGTGGACTGCAACGTGAACGACAGAAAGTGTTTTTTCTCCGTCATAAAGCTGGTAACTCATCCTCTCTTTACTGCTGTGCCTCTAAGATTTTGACTCATTCTCGGGTGAGGGAAGGCATCTGGCTCACTCCGGAGAATCTACGAGAAGTTTACGCCGGGCTCAAAGCCGACAAGGACGACAATGGTTAGAAAACAACTTGCCTTTTATTATATTGTAGTCTCTGATATAAATTAGTTCATCAGGATTATTTTCATGAAGTGGTTTTTGAAGCTGATTTTATGCAAAGGGATAGAAGACTATTTTCACAGCTTCAGGATGAACTCTGGGAACAAATAAATCCAGAAAGCAAAAGCTTTTACTTTTTAAGCATTTTCTTAATGTAGGTCAGTAAATATAAAAGTGGCAGTTGGTTATAAGACTTAACCAAAATGAGCATATGACTGAGTTTATGTGTGAAATTGGAAAACTGTCTAAAACAAGCATACAGCAGGTACTGGATGATTTGAATTATTGACAAACTTTAGAGTTTAATTTTGTACTTTTAGCAAGTTTTCTTATTGCCACTGAAATGAATGGCAAATCTACAACTTTGAAAACATATTGTCATGTACAGAAGTATTACATTTTCTTCAGTATTTTATTTTTAGGAGTGTTTTTAGAAGATGATCTTGAGTTTTTAACTATGTTTTTGTCCTTTGGTGTGTCTGTTACCAAATTATTTTGTTGACCACTGGACGAATTGTAATGAATCTTTGGGTCCACATCTACAAATGAAATGACTAACCTTTGGAGATTAACTTAATTCAAATTGGCTGCCACACTTATCCTTAAAAAAACGCACACAAATGGGTATAACTCGGTTAGTTTTACAAATACTGAACCAAAAGTTGATTTGGTAACAGCTGAGTCATCCACAACACGTACTCTGAGTGTATGCATTACTTCAAGGCCTTTAAGTTATTTTCAGTTGAATTTATTTACTCTTAAAAGCTTTGCAAAGTCACACAGATATCATTTGTTCTGAAAGGCTGAAATTCCTGGGGACCAGCGGAGAAGCGTCAAAACAATTCTACAGATGTACTGATCACGTGCTGTCTTATTTGTGAGCCAGGTTTGCTGAGCCTTGAGGAGTTTCGGCTCCTGAGCAGTGACGCCTTCCAGCGCTTCCTTCTGCAGCGAGGGGTGCAGAGGAGTCAGCTGGTGCGAAACAGCAGGCACACCTGGTTGTATCAGGGCAAAGGAGCTCACCAGGTTCTCCAAGAAATCAAGCAAAGGTGAGGCAGACTCACCCATAGTCAAGATCCAGTCAGTACATTTCTACCATTTTTTTTAATCATCTGCTTCTCTTCCAAAGGGTGACTCGCCTCACTCGAATGCCGCCCGCACTAGTGGACCTCAGTGAACCACTTCAGGTGGTTCGCTATGAAGAGGGGGGGCACTACCACGCCCACCAAGACAGCGGGCCTGTCTACCCTGAGACAGCGTGTTCACACACACGCCTTGCGGCTAATATCTCCACTCCTTTTGAGACGTCGTGCAGGTGAGGTATCACCTTCAACGATAACTTGATTATAAATATATAAACATGTCTGTGTATGTTTTGATGTGGATTCATCTGTCTGACACCATTACTGATCTGTGCACGGAACAGTTTCTGCGCTCGCCACTCATTTTGCCAAGCGTCTGTATACGTGTGTGCGTCTTTGCACCATACATGTGTGTGTCAATTTAAACCTATGTTGCACACTTAGGTACATCACAGTTCTCTTCTACCTGAACTCTGTTGATGGGGGCGGGGAGACCGCATTCCCTGTGGCAGACAACAGGACCTATGAGGAAGTGGTGCGTAAATGTTCACAGAGGAGTAATGTGGACACATCGTGCATGTTTTTCACATCTGTGTGAACTCACTTGTCTGTTGGTGAGTTGATGTGTCCGACGTCAAGGGAGCCATGTCACTTAGTCTGAGTGTGTGTTTTAGTGTCTTATACAGAACGACGTGGATCTTTTGGACACCAGAAGAAACTGTGATAAGAGTAATCTGAGAGTGAAGCCGACCAAAGGGACCGCCGTTTTCTGGTACAACTACCTCTCTGATGGGAAAGGTAGGATAATCATAATCACTTTTTTTTCTGATTTGCTCTCGACGATGACGGACACTTTCTTTCCCTCTCCTGCCTCCCCTCCTGCTTTTGCTCTTGTCCTGTGACTCTCAGAGCCTCTCTTTACACATCTTCCAAATCGTAAATTATTATGAATCTGGTCAGCTGGTCTCTCAACGCAATTGATAAAATTTTCTCGACGAGAAGACAGGGTGAAGGAGAACCCTCATGCCCTGAAGGGACACACGCAGCTGGATATGTCATGGATTCCTTGGTTGTATAGAAGATGATGTGCCTGTCTGTATTGTCCGTTGAGGACGTTGAAGACACATACATAATTGGATTTATGATAACAGGGTTTCTGCTTTTTGGAATCGGCGGGTACCTGGGATATCGACAAATAAGGAAGACGTCAGCAGCAGTTTTGGCAATGATGAGGCTGCCTGCCTTATATGAGGGATTGCACTGTGCTTCGAGCGCTCAGACTCAGATGCTAGAACTCGCTGGCATGAGGGAATCGACCTTGGAGAAGGCTACAAGCACAGACCGGCGGAAAGACCAAGAATCTGGCTGTTTGGATTTGCCACTGAGTGTACCAGCAGAAACTATGAAGGCAGACGGGAAATCAGTAGTCGGCCTGTCCCAAAACAATTGTTGTTTATCTGAAACTAGCTCCCCCATTTGGCCTTGGATAGGCCAACTTATCTCAAATCGCTCCTGGAGGGTATGTAAATCATGAAGCTCTGCATCTGTGGACCCTTGTCAGAGCCGCACCGGCTGATAGACACTGTGCCATCTTTATCAGGACTATGGAACTTTCTGGCTGTGTTCACGGACAATCTCACCGCCTTTGCCGGCTTCCTCATAATGTCTTGTGGTAGTTTTTTTTGCTACTTTACACTGCGCCTGTGTGTCAAGGACACAGTGTGAGAGATCTTTTTTTAGTACCTTCTTTCCTCATGTTTTTATTCCCTTTTTTTATATAAGCGATAAGGGCAGCACTTCACTGAAGCTGCAGCCCCCATGCATTTACACCTACCCTTGTTGGACGGCTGCACTGGAATGTATTTTCGCTGTGCTTAACTGTGCAATGACAATAAAGTTGATTCTGATTAATTCTGATAACACCGTCTCTTTGCAGAAATGCTACATACAGAAGCTTAATTATGGACATATTTTTGTCTGTACCGCCTTCAAAATCTCTGAGCATACAGTTCTTGTCTGTACTCTTCATTCTTACTGTTTATCTTTATTACTCTTGCCATCTTCATATAAATTTTTCTGCATCAAACATTTATTAAGTTGATAAATAAATATGACAAGCCGAGTGACAAAAAGGAAAAGAAAAACATCGAATTTAGCAAAAAGATTGTAAAGTATAGCACCTAATTTAGCCAGTTATCTAGCCTGTGTTGTAGTATAAAATCTTATATTGACAATTAATGAATTTAATAATACTCTAATTAAGAACATAATTATAAATATTTCTTAAGTGCAGTTTTATTGAAATGAGATACCTGAGATTTTGGATTTTTCATTTGCAAAATGTGTTTTTTTTTCTTCCATCAACATGTGCGTTTCAAATTGGCTGCATTTGGAGCGATCCCTATTAGAAAACCACTCCTGATTTTTTAAATTTACTCAGTTTTTACACATCCTTCTATTATTATTTTTTCTTTTTATCCAGGTTGTATAGATTATTTAAATGCATTTATACCTAATATCATACACAGAAAAGCAGCTTGTGACATTGGCGTTTCAGCTTTGTTGTTGAAAACACCTCCATTTCATTTTTAAAATAACTTTCGAACCTACAGAACAGACATTTTTGATTTATTGTGTTTCCCTATTTGTTTTGTCCTGTACTTGACCATTTAAATATTGTTTTCAGTGTCTCATCTTTTATTTGATTAACTTGCTCTATCAAAGTAATCGTTTAAAAAATAATGAGCTGCAAATGGAAGTTACACATTTTTTTTGTTTCATTTTTGTCTTTAGGTTGGGTGGGAGAGCAGGATGAGTATGCTCTGCACGGTGGCTGTGTGGTCACCCGTGGCACAAAGTGGATTGCCAATAAATGGATCAACGTTGATCCGGATTACCAGAGGCAGGCTCGCTACCAGCAGCTGGTGTCACAGCTGCCTGAAGATGAAAATGATGAAGATTCTGCTCTAAACCCAGACACACACAGTCACAGCATCCACCAGGATTTGTAGCTCAAACACTAAATAGTTACAAATCAAATAAATTTGTCCTAGTCTTCCTCAGTCCTCTGCACAACATTTTCAATATCATCCTCTGTGGCTGGTTTGTAGATACAAGATTTCAGGGAATGAGGTCACAATGGATTTATGAAACAATAAATAGATGCTTTGAAAAACATTTTTTTAAACAAACTGTTTTATCATTGTTTCCCATATTAGGGGTTTTGCACTAGAACTCAGGAAGAGGTATAGTTTCAAACTGTATGTGTGATTTTAGTGACATCTAGTGGCAGAATTTGACATTGCAAGCAGCCCAATATTCACCTCTCAAGATTTTCCAAACGTTTAGGTAGCTGCAAAAAATGCAAAAAGTTCTTTAGAAAAATATTTTGATATAAACATATTATTCTAAGATAACTTACTGCACTTACTGCAGTTACACTCACAATACCTTTCTGCCTCTAGATTTCCCTAAATGGCCCACAGAATCTAACACACTTCTCTGCATGCTTTATGTTTTGTTGTAACATGACACGCCTACGTTACAATAGGGTCCGGTTTATGTTGAGCCGGGTCGTAACACTTTATCTCAACACATTTTGCTGTGACAAAACATTTGCACTAGAATATTGCAATGGCTGCCATTACCAAAAGCGCACACACTTGAGTGTGATGCATGATGTCTTCTTGTCTTTGTTCCTTCCGTTTACTTCTGCTGTTGTATGAACGCACAATAAATTAAAATGCACAAGATGTCCAGATCATTTTATTTATTGATTTATCGACTAATTATTTAAAATGCACAATCGTTCACCAAATAAAATTAAATCAAGCTTTTTTTTTTTTTGCTGCATTTGTCTTTTTTTTTTTTAAAACAAAACAATGTATAAATATCACTTCAAGGTAACAATCAAACAACGAGAGAGAAGTATACACAAACATATCAGTACATAATTATTTTCAGTTTAACTTAAATAAATCAGCAGGTGATGAATCCCTGGAAGGCTCTAAAACTTTGTGTTGTTGTGTAGGTCCTGTAAAAAAAGATAATCAGCATAATAAACACAGGATTTTTTTATTTTCATGTGTTAGATCATTTGATTCTGAAAATAATTTATTAAAATATTGCCAATAACTGCAAAACATTATGTTCCCATGGACCAGAGAGTTTTGTGTTTGTTAAGAATTGCTTGCTGTCTGTATTTTAAATGAAACCAGAACAGCAGCTTCATAAACTCACCAGCGTCGGGTCGTATCTGGGGACTGAAGTGGCTCCACGGTGGTTGAGACAGAAGAGCACGGCGTCATGAACAGAAGCAAAAAGCTGTTGTTTTGTTACCGTTTCTGAGAAGAAGTCACCGCGCTCTAATTGTTCCACCACAGACGCTGTGGAGACGAGAGTTCATGAGCAACTCACCAAGAAGAGGAATGTTTTAACGCCACAACCTGGAGGATATTTTTGCTCACCTTGACAGCCAGCGATGTAAATATCCACATCAATTTCACTGAAGTCCTTAAAAATCTGGTGATAGAACAGAGTCTGAATACTTCACTTCATACAGCCTTTAAAATAAAAGCTGTTTGTATTGTTTCCCCTGTCTTCACTAGTGAATCATCAGGATTATTTTAACTATCTGGGAGTATGATTATTATATGGCTCAACAAAAGTAATGGATATTGATGTGATTCTGATTAAAGGGCGTTGCCACAAGTGTTTCTATCCACTCAAACCAGTACGCTTACAGAAGAGCTAACATCTATTTAAAACAAAACACACCTTTTGTCCTCAGACATTGCCTTAAATATACTCTGCTGCTCTGAAAAGATGTTTTGACATTGAAAAGCTGCAGACTATTACCCTTTTTTTTTTTTAATCCTGCTTTTCTTTTTATTATTTTTATAAACTTTTTTTTGTTATTTCACAAAAATCAAAATAAGTTGAGGCCAACAAGCAAAACATTTGTTTCTGAAAATACAAGAAAAATCTTTTGTGAAATCTCCCAAATCTTCTATGTTGCTATTGCTTGTAAAATATTTTATAATAATATGTTTATTCTTTAATATACTTGGAGTTTAATTGATTTCAAAGTAAAAAGATTTTATTATATATCAAAATAAGAGAAAATGTCAGGACATTTGAGGTGTTTTCTGCTACGTCATGCCACATTTGTTGATTTACTCACATTTTTCATCGTCTTTATAGCCACGATGTCAATGAAGTTAGTTGTGGAAAGGTCGAGGATAATGGAGTGAATGTCCCAGGTCCACTTGCCCAAAGACCCAAGAGAGACTCGCTCCAGGTCCCGGCTCAGGGTGTCCTCAGTGCTAGAACCCAGAGTGGTGGTGTCTCCATCCTGATCCTCTGTCATCCAGTCCAAACTGGTGCAGTCTGGGTCCCCTCCTTTCAGGTACTCCCATCTGGACTGACCATCAGGAGTTCTGGGAGTGGTTGGGATCACAAACACTGTCCCGTTCTCCCTCTCAGTCCAGCCTGGATCCTCCATCTCTGCCTCATCTATGCATGTGTCCTTCCAGCAGCCAGCCCCCTCCTCCACAGAAAGCTCTGGGGGTCCAGAAAGCTTCTTAGCTGCTCTTTGAGCCCGTCTCTGAAAGAAATGTGGGGAAGGAGTTTATTTTAAAGATGTTTTGGGGGAAAATAAATGGTTATCTCTGTATTATTGCCTTATGTAAAGAATGTTGGCACCTGTTTTTGCATTTGTCATATGAACAAAATGGCTGTTTATGCCAAAAAGAGTTACAGTTGAGCATCAAATATTGAGTAGTGATGAATTAACTAAAATATCCAGTGTTGCTGAATATTTCACACCTCTCTCTTAGCCTGCCTCTTGGCCCGTCTCTCAGCCCTTCTTTCTCGTCTTCTCTGTTTGGCCTCCTGTCTTCTCTTATAAATAATCATTTTACTGATGTCAAGTCCACTCTGAAAATAAGTAGAACAAATTAATAAATAAAGACAAACGTAAGGATCAAACAAACAAATAACCAAAAGTAACAAGGAACAGTTTCCTGCATAAAGATGACACAGAAACTTTTGTGCAAAAAAAAGGTAATTTTTCGGTGTCCAAAATCACATCTCCATGTCAGACTATAAATAAAACATAACAATCTTTATCTCCATCCAACTTCAGCTAAACCAATCATGGTGTATTTTCTGTACCTCTTATTACAGAAGTCCAAATGTCAGCCTGATTAGATTTCTAATATTTCCTATTCCTAATAAAAAATGTGACTTTAGTTTGGATTTAGCTTAATTTTTTTTTTCCTAGTCATAAATTTAAAAAACCAATTGATCATCAGTTCTTCTGCCTTTAGAAAATGAGACTTTTCCCTCTACGGTTTATTTTAACTGCCTCTAAATACTGTACTTGATGAAGAAACAAAGGTAAGAACTAGCAGAGAAGTACGCAGGATTTACAGAAACAATAAAACACAGAATAAACTGAATGTTTTATAACTGTTTTAATAATCTGGATTAATTAAAGACACACCATATGAGGCTGTGCCTGATAAATGGATCAATACAGATGGTCCTGTGGTCAAACTACAAAATGAAAATACAAAAATTTGGAGAAAAAGCTTCAAATCAAAGAATCGGTGTTTAGTTTTGGTCTTCCGGGTTATTTATTGTTTGTTTTAATGTAGAAATAATGTGCTTCAAGAGTTGCTGAATATCAATAATCTCCAAAATTGCATTGTCCTCATAAGAAAAGTTTACTCTGCAATGCTAAATTCTTTAACAATTAGTAATAAAATTCAACAAATAAAAGCAATTTAGGCAAAAAGAAATATAAATTAATTGGGTAAATTAAAAATCAGAAAACAACAGCAAAAACACATATAACATGCTATACTGTAATATTTTCTTTTAAAAATTCTTTATCAATCAGATTATTTAACAAAAACAAGAAAATACAGCTGGTACTCCGAGGTTAGGACAAATACATGAAGAGTGAACAAACCTTTTCTTTCAGGGCATCGAGGTAGAGCTCAGCGTTGGCAAAATACACCGTAGCAGAGGAACGGAAAATGGTGACACCTGGAATCTCTTTTGCCTGTCAAAGAAAAAAATAAAAACATCCTTACAACTTTTGCAGTCACAGCAGAGAAAACAACTTCTTTTATTCATGTTGACCTACCTCCCCATGTGTTTCTATATCCACATAAAGTTCTGTACCTGGAACATTTCCCAGAACCGAGTATGTTGGCCTAAAAAAAATGAATAACAAAACACACACATATATGCTGAATTTCTCTAACAGTCTGTAGGCTCAGGTGTCCTGCAGTGAGAACTCCACTGTGAAGTGCTGCAGATAAATCTTACATCTGAGTCCTAAAGATAACTGTGAACACAGCAAACATGATGGAGGCAGCCAGGCCCAGATCCAGATTGAGGAGCATCGTTGACACCCATGTGACCAACCAAACCACCTGAGAACAGCAGGACAGGATGCTTTATTATTAAATATGACGGTAACAACAATATCATCGAATTTGATGCATTAGGAGTTATTTTTAAAATGATCCAGTTTAAAGTAATTTAATCATTTATGTTGATCATCTCTCACCAGATCAGTCTTGCTGCTCCTCCACAGTGTAACAATGTCAGAGTACTGCTTGATCATTCCCTTCAGATTAACAAGCACAATTGATGCAAGCATAGCCTAAAATGACACGATTAATCAGATAAGACTCTGCAAATGCACAGTACAAAATATTTACAAGCGATCTGCATCCTGGTTATAAACTTCACTTTAGGGAGGTAACCCAACCTTCGGCAGTTCCTGGAAGAGTGGTCCAAGTTTCAGAATGGTCACCAACACGATTAGAGCTGAGGCAACTCCAGCCATCTGCAAAATAAACAGCAGGGGTTGGTGTGATACATACGTGTGACACACTGGGCTTTTTTAACCCAGACATGTCTAACTGGTTCCTATCAGTGGATATTTGAATAAACTGTTTGTTTTCTGAAACTATTTTTCTCTATAGCCATAAAGTTGGATTTCATTTGTATCTTGGCTCAGTCATCGATAACGTCAACATATCTCTTGTAAACTGCATAAAATTGCTATACAGTAAATAAATTCATTTATTATGTTTAATAACCTGCATCTAACTGAAAACAGTGCAAATGTGCCAAATAATGAACCTTATCCATTTTTTTAATAATAAATAAAAATGAAGTAATTGCACATTCCTGCTGAATGTAGGATTCCAGCTGTTCATCAATTTGCACCAGTTTTATTTTGTGAGAAATGTTCAGAGGGTGAAAGATAAGAACTTTAAGACCCGATCGAATTCTTTGTAGTACATGCAAAATGTGGTTTGTCTTTGTCTTGTTGAAATAAGCAAGCCCTTCCTTTAAAGGCACATCTGGATGGCAACAATGTCTGCTTCAACATCTGAACATGTCGGCATTCACGGTGCCTTCATGGATCCTTCACAGTAGCATGTAGCGTGCACTAATTCGCTTTAACACCCGAACATGTGCTGGCTTTTAAACTGTGAATATAAACTGTTAAATGTGCTGCCTAAAGCAATTAGGTCAATTAGTTCTGGTATTCGGCTGTGCCCCCACGTCAGGGGTTGAACTCAGGGGTTCCCAACCCTGGTCCTTGAGGAACACCGTCCTGCGTGTTTTAGTTGTTTCTCTAATCCGACACACCTGATTTTAATAAATGGTTGATTTACAGGCTCCTGTGGAATGAGGAAGTAATTAAATCACTGAATCAGGTGTGTTAGAGCAGGGAAATAAATAAAACATACAGGATGGTATTCCTCAAGGACCAGGGTTGGGAACCACTGCTCTAAATAATTTAATGATGTCTCATGTTGTCTTCGGACATTTAAGTTGAAACTTTAAGGATTTTGAAGTCAATACATTTTGTTTTGGTTTCCTGCAGTAATTCTGTTTTGCGATATGTTGCTTATTTTATTCCTAAATGTGGAAATGTTGTATTTTCTATCCTTCACTCACTTGAGTTTTACCTCCGGTGGTTTCTTGGATGAGACTTCGAGACATGGAGGAGCAGACAGAGAAACACTGGAAGAAGCCTCCCACTGCATTACTGAGACCAAGCGCCACAAGCTCCTGCAGCAAAATGGAAACAAAGACACAAGAGTGTGCAAACTTAAAACGTGATGACAACAAAATTAAAATTGCTGCGTGTTTAGAGCAGAAACAAAAGTCTTAAGCCAAATTATGAGTATTCACCTGGTTACTGTCCACCTTGTATCCATGCTTCAGTGCAAAGGTTTTTCCAAGAGAAATGGATACAGCATATCCAACTATAGCCAGCGCAAAAGCATCACCAATGACCTCACCAAAAATTCTCACATCTGGCACACTGGGAGAACTTAAACTGGTGAACAGGTAAAAGGAAACATGAAACCAGTCAATGCAAAAGACGTTGGAAATGTCCCAATAAGGACAGAAGTGTAATATAAATCCAAACACTCACCCACTTGGAATCTCTCCAACAACTGAAACAGTGTAGTTGGTATTCAAGTGGGTGTAGGATGATATCAGGGTCCCTGCCACAATCTAAAACAACAGAAGAATCTTAAAGATAAAAAAAAACTATATTTTACTACACAGCTCAGTCATTAAAACATAGTCAATCATACTCCAGGTGTGAATCTAATTATTAGCCCTGAATTCAACATTTTTGCTGTGAAGTGCACAACTATTGAGGCCCTCGCATCAATGCTGATTCAGCTGAATATTTCCACTGTGTTTGTACTTTTTTTTTTCCAGTGCTGCATCATCAGCTCCAACACAGAACACAGAGGTGGTAAAACAGCATGAGGCCAGTGAGTGTGTCCTTGTGTCAACTGACTGTGATGAGCTCCACTGGGATGGGAACCGGCAGCTTCGCACTGAAAAATGAGTTGAGCTCTTTGGCTGCGATTAGAAGCACAATGGTCACAGCACTGACCACTAATGTGGGGATGTGTGTCTGCGGCAGCAAGGAGCAAATGTCCACCAGAGTCTGAAAATCAAAAAACACAAAGAAGGGATTCCTCTATAAATGAAACCTACACATTCTGTCCAGTTTTGTTAGTCACGATTTTAAACACATTTTTGACTGTCTGCTAATACAGTAGTCCCTTGCTACTTTGCGGTTCGTTTTTTGCAGACTCGCTCTATCGTGAGTTTTCAAAGTAAGATTGGACATGACACACAATTGGCTGATTGATGGATGAGCCACACAATCGGCATGGAATTTTTATTTAAAATAAATTATTTTAGATTATTTAGCACCGGCTGCACCTTTGTGCAGCCCACAGCTGCAGAAGCTTCTTCATGCAGCATGTCATGATCTCCGCTCTGCAGCGAAGTGGGCGTAGCCAAGAGCGCTGGCAGGTGGCAGAGTGCATCAGGAGACAAAGAGCTGAAATCATGACATTCGGTGCTCTTTTAGAGTGTTTAGAGTT